TCAGGTTGTTTTCTGAGGCCTGCTGAACCCTCATTTGACAAAACATTTTAAAACAAGTTTCTTTGAATGTTCCATATAAATTTGGGTATAAACTATCTTAACATACCAGCACATTGAATTCTTAGTGTTTATTAAAGTATTGCATCATGACCAGCAGTTTTTCCAAGAATGCAAGGTTGGTTTATGTTATCCTTTATGCTAATGCAACAAGCTTCATAGCTCCCATAAAATAATCTGAATAGACATTGAAAACTTCTGAAAACAATCAAAATTATTTCATAGTATATAGTCTTTTTAACTAAAAATAGAAGAGAATTTCTTCAACCAGAAAATAACATCTGCAGAGAACCTTCAACTAATGTAATAACAGTACATACTAAATATTTCGTCCTTATAACCTGAACAAAACAAGTTTGCTCTTATAACTTCACAGAAATTTGCAGGTTAAATATAGTGTAAAATAGGAAAAACAACATAAGTAATAAGAAAAAAAGCAAATTTGTTATTTACAGAAAATATGGTAGATGCCAAATGAGCAGTGGAAACTAAACTGTTCCTCAAATCAAGTCCCTCATCCCCATCTGGTCACTATCTTCTTCCCATCGTTGTCCTCCACAAAGTCATTCTGAGGTGATTTATAAACTAAATATAATTATGTGCATTGTGTGCTTCCTGTGCAGACATGCCTACAAAAGAAATCCCTGGGCCTCCCCAGTGGCGCAGCGGTTGAGCGCTGGGTTGCGAAGCTGCCTGCAGCCTCTGCAGCGCCGGTTCGATCCCCGGCTGCTCCCCGGCCACCGGAGGAGGGTCCCACATGGCGCGCAGACCTCTCCTGCCGCCCGCTGCTCCCCTCAGCAGTGTACCTCGGTCCTTCTGCCTGCTCTGCTCCCCGCTCTGGCTCTGGTGAATTCTCTCACCCTCCCGCGCTTCTGACTGTACCCAGTGCATGTATAAATGAAACAAATAAATAAATAAATAAATAAATAAATAAATAAATAAATAAATAAATAAATAAATAAAAAGCATGCCTCTATTAAAAAAAATCCCTGAGGAATATCTGCAGTCAGGTTATTGTAATTTAACCCTTCAAACTCTGGAGTGATCAATGAGATTGGGTAGCAATAAAGAGGTATGTTGAAGCCACTTCCAAGGAGTTGCTCTTTTTTGGCTAGCAATTGCTTGTACTTGGTTGACAAGAAAAAACAAAAAATAAGGCCTCCTTGGTGGCGCAGCAGTTGAGCGCTGGGTTGCGAAGCTGCCCGCAGCTTCTGCAGCGCTGGTTCGATCCCCGGCTGCTCTCTGGCCACAGGAGGAGGGTCCCACATGCTGCGCAGACCTCTCCTGCCACCCACTGCTCCCCTCAGCAGTGTACTTCTGTCCTTCTGCCTGCTTTGCTCCCTGCTCTGGCTCTGGTGAATTCTCTCACCCTCCTGCGCTTCTGACTGTACCCAGTGCTTGTATAAATAAATAATTACTTTGTATAGTTTGCCTATTTATTCCCCTAGTAACATCCTTAAAAAACTGTAGCATAATATAAAGACCAAAAACTTGATTTTAATAGTAAAAAAAAAAACAAACAAATAAATAAATCTTCAAAAATAGAGTTTTTTTTTTTTTAACTAAAGTACATGCTCGTATTTTCTGCATACACAGAGGTCCAGTCTCTTCACCTCCCCTTCAAAATGTCCTAAGAGAATCATTGTCAGAACTAGAGAGGATGAATGTTAATTTGATAGTTTATTGAATGGATTAGGGAAGAGAAGAGACTCATAGATATTATTCCAGGTACAATTGCTCAGTAATGATAGCAATGCTGAAAGGCATTGGTCATGTAATATGACCTTCTACAACCCACAGGGCATCTTGTAGGTGATCAAACATTGGTTGAGTGACATTGTGAATGAATATGTTCCTCAACAGGGAAGAATGGAAATAAAGAATTTCTATAAATGAAAAAATGAAAAACCTTTAGTCTATAAAAAGAAAGCCTATTCTAAAGAATGTATTCATTGATTTAAAGATTTCTTTTTGTCCTCACTTGTATTTCTTTTCTGATCAAATGAAACACTCTAAATCCAATTTAATTTTCAGGGCAGACTTCCTGTTCTTAAACTTTTGAATTTGCTTTTTAAATTCTTTGTTTGGCATCATCAACATTACCTCACTGGCTTTTAGTGAGTTCTGTGAGAAGATGTAATCTATAGAACATTAGGTTTACTCTACTTTCAGCCAAAGGAGTGCTTAGGAAGACATATTTCTGCTGTTTAAAAGGCATTGCTTTAAATTGCTTTAAAAATATAGTGTCTGTTACATGGAAAGCCTCTGATAAATATTAACTGTGCTCACCTAATTTATTAGGAGTTGTGTGGAAATTTATAGAAAGGGACCAAGGCAGAGAGAGGAGACCTGGGCAATACCCTGAGGTGGGAGCCCCTCTATCATGTTCCAGGAGGAGAAGAGGCCACATAGATAATCCATGCAGGCACTGCTTCTTAGGAGAAGGCTGTGTGAATTATTTATTCATATTAAATAATACTGTATATCTTAGAGCGAAAATATTACCCAGAATAAAGAAGGTTGTATTGCAAAAGAGTGTAATTGTCAACAGAATATAACAATTTTTAACATTTATATACCAAACAACAGAGGTTTAAAATACACAAGTCAGTAACTGAGAGAACTGACAGGAGAAATACACAAATCCACAATGATAGGCAAAAATCCCAATACCTCTCTCAATAATCAATAGAAACCTGACAGAAAACCACTAAATATTAAAATTAGAACAACACTATCAACTGACTTGACCTGATTGACATTTATAGTCAAAAAACAGCAGGATGTACATGTTTTCCTTGTCTACACAAAACACCAAAATAGATTAAGTTCTGGGTCATAAATCAAGGCCCACGGGTGCTAATTGGGAAGAAGAAGCCTTTGCAAATCTCTAGGAAACTAAGGAGTTAGAAACTGCAAAGCTCATGCTTCTTTCACCCTGTCTTTAGAAAGCGTAATACATTTTATTGTTTTCAAAAAAGGTCTCCTTTTCTTAAAATTGAGTTGTGGCTGAGTTTCACCTCAAGAATCAGAGGGCAGAGTTCTCAGGTGGCAAGAAGAGTCCAGAATGAAAGAAGCAGAAATTTAGGGTCAGGGTGACTGTGAGAATACCAATATCCATAGACTTGTAGGGAATTTAAAAGTACTTGATCTTTCAAGGAAAGAGAATTTGGCTAACAGGCAGGCTTTTGCAGTCTTCAGGAGTCAGGGAAGCTCCAACTGATGCATCAGATTTAAATAAGAATATAACAAACTGTATTGGAGATAAACTTTTGGCACAGAATATACTTTCATTTCTCTTTACCATTTTTACTCTTCATTCTTCTTGATCTTTGAAGGAGTGTTCTTACCTGTAGGCAGTGTGCAAGGTTACTGTTTGACAGAAATGTATGTCCAGTCCCTCAAGGCACTCGCTATCTGGAGAGTGCCTTGGAGTGCTTTGGAGAACAAGACAAATACATGTGAAGCAACAGTAAAGAAAAGAGGATCATTATAGAGTAACAGACTTGAAGTGTCATAAGTGCAGGGACCTGTTAGATTTTCATGAGTATGCATAGCACACGTGCGTCAGTGGATGCCTTTTATTTTTGCAGGTCAGACCAAGTCCCTATTTTCAGGAATGGTTTCCAGGTCTGATGTGAGTGTGGTGGGAAACAGCCAGGGGCCACGGGCAATTCATGGTCCTTCAATGTCTTTCTGCACCTGTGTCTTTGATACTTGCATTCCTTAGTAACTACAGCAACATCTGGTGCCTATATACACCTTTACTTTTCCCAGTATTGGAAATTTTCATATCAATTGTTTTATCCTTACACAGTGATTCCAGTGAGTCCCTTTCTCAGATGAGGAAAAATGAGGCTGTGTTAGATTTTAAAAAGTTCTTTAAAAATGCTTCTCTCCATCTTTGTCACTGAATCTCAAACTTATGTGATATTTTGAATATCCCTAAGGTCAAAGGTAAGTCAACTATATCTTTCATGTGTAGGTCCCTTGCCTGTGTGAAAACCCTGCTTCATTGGGTGGAGAGCTGACTTCAGCCCCCAGTGAAAGGATTTCGAGGAGAAATGTCAGTGACCTCATAAGAGATTTGATGTCTGAATCTACTCCTTTATTAAATTTCTCATATGCACATTTCATATTTTATGTGCGTATGTTATATTATGAACGGCGTTAACTCTTAATTAGCTTTATTTAACCAATATAGTGTTTTCTACTTACAGAGTTAATGAATATTCTATATTTTATGTATTTTCATTCTCAAATAGCATGAAGAGGAAAAATACAGACTTTTCAACTCTTTTGCTTGCTAAGACTTAAAACAAGTAACTTTTTTTAGGGGGGGCATTTTTCCTATACAGTACAAATCAGCTAAATATGCTGGATGTAGTGAAATAATGCAATCAATGAATCATTGATATGCTGAAATAGTCCTCGAGGAGAATAGTATGGAAAGAAAAGTGCTTTAGGCAAAAAACTTTATTGTAAATATTGTTAAAACCATGATAGGATGATGATATTAGTGAAAGATTTTTAATATAAGCATCTAGCATCTATAAAATAAGTTTGGATCAATGAGACAGTCCATGAGAGGGATGAAGCAGAACAGTGAAGTTGTGAAGACTAACTTAACTACTTACTTTTCTATTTTCAGTCTCCCCATCACTATATTTTGATTTCTTTATATGGTGCTTAATGCCTAATTCCACTTTTCCCTTTCAGGCATCCACTCCTGACTTCTACAGGGCTTATTTTCATTCAGTTCTGTATATTCATCCTGCTGTAACCTCCTGTGTTTTTGTGTCAAAAGGGAAAATACCCCACTAGCTTCTTGTCTGTTTAACATTTAAACTTTTTTCTCTCTCCCTCCCTGTCATGTATCTAATGAGCAAATTATCTAAAAATAGATATGTTCATCATTCTACAAAATGTTGTATCTTCTCTAGATTGGAGGCCAGTGTAATTGTAAGAGACATGTGTCTGGCAGACAGTGCAATCAGTGCCAGGATGGATTCTACAATCTGCAAGGGCTGGATCCTGATGGCTGGCGGTCCTGCGATTGTAATACCTCTGGGATGGTGGATGGAGCTATTACCTGTCACCCAAATTCAGGCCAGCACAAGTGCAAAGCCAACGTCATTGGTATGTGTAATGCAAAAGTTTACAGTCATATCTCTATTACCATCTAGAATAAAATTCTCTGTTTGATTTCTTAACTGAAGAATAAAGCAAAATTCCTTTCTCAAGGCAGACAGCCAAAAGAAAAAATTTGGATGAAATTAACTGTCTAAAAATGATTAGATTAATAATTCTATCAAACTGCAGCTTGAAGCTTAGTTTAATCAACCCTTTAGAAGTTTTTTTTTTTTTATATTCTGTAGATGCCTTAGTTTACTTGGTCCCTTACTAATAAGTCATAGAAAAATATAATTTGCTTACTACATAGATGTTTCTTTTAGAAAATTAGCACTTTTTCAAAATGGCTTATACTTAATGAGTTCTAAGCAAATCATTTCCATGCTAGTTTTCTTAATAGACCAAAATAAATGGATTTTTTCAAAATATTCTGTGCTACAGGGTCCTTTGTGATAAATCTTTCCAATTTTTTTTCTATTATATTTCTTTGAACTGTTCCTATGAAATGCAAAATAAGTCAACATAATTCCACAGATCATGTATATTGCTAGGTTAGTTATAAAAGGCCACATAATTTTAATTTTGTAATTCAATACCAAGCTGATTATAATAAACAGCTACCTTCGGTGTTATTTATCATTTTTTTATATAAGACGTGCTTTTTTGTTTGTTACTCCCACAGGTATTTTTCAGAAATTAGATTTGATTATAGCAATTTATTACATCCAACATTTTTGAGGGGAACCACAGCCACATAAGGACAAAATTTATCAAGTGCCCAAATGCACTATGTACATAATGCACTTGAAATTTTGATATATGAGAATATTATGAGAGGAAAGTTTGCTGATGAAGTGAGTCTCATATTGTAGCTGAGCGTGTCTTGGTTTGTGTAGGAAGTTTAAAAAAGACCTTTGCCTTTCTATTGTCATTCGAGCCTCCTAGACTTCCAAGGTTTTTCTAACACTGACCTCAACCTTGTAATAAAAACATGCCGGCAGGGATGGTGTGCTACTGCTACCTCAGTCCGCATCACCCTTTATTTCTGCGATACAATGCCAAAGTTAATTTTTATCTTTTGTCTGTGTAGATCCACCTACATCATTTTATACATTTCTGCCAGACAAGAGATTCATTTTAATTTAATAAAAATTATGTCAATGTGTTTGATGGTATTACATATGATTTCTCTGGTTAGAAAAAGAGCACATCAAAATCTTGAACATCTCTAGCCCTTACACAATTCAAGCATGTAAAAAGTAACTTCTCAGACAAAATATGGCCAAGCATTACCTGAGATGCTGAAAGAATCCTAAGACCTTTGCATTCCATCCATATGGCATCCATTGTTCTTTCATGTGAGATATATTTTAAATTCAAAATGTGCAAACATGTTTAAAGAAAGAACTTCATGGAAAATGAAATGCTACTTATCTATATCAAGGGAATCTTCTCTATCCGGAGCTTAGGGAAGGAAAAAAAAATCCAAATTTACTCTTTACTTAGAATTTGTTATGACCTCTTTGCCATATATTTCTTTTATTGGTTGAGCCAGCTAGCATTCTGCTGGAAAATACAAAGATCTTTACATTTGATGATGAAATCATCATTATGATATTATTTCTATAGTTATTTCCATACATCCAATGTTTTTAATAAAAATAGGTATTTTATATATATTTCTTTTCTTAATGGGATTAGCAAGTAACCTTATTCAATTTTGCTTTAATATGATTAAAAGAAAAACCAGAAAATATAAGTGTATGTTGTATATGCTTCAGAAAGCAGACTGGTAGAGTTAACAAAACTGCTAAATCTTACTAATGATTCTATCACCAGTAAAATACATTAGCACCAATAATTTTATTAAAGTAGGTCATTCATCTAGAATAAAAAGGGGGAAGAATGTGAATTAAATGCCAAGTGTGCTAACTCGCCTGTACTTGTTAACACCGAATGTGATGCCCTGTAGGCTTTCCCGAGTATCGTCAGGAATAGATTACCTGTCAGGAATATGTATGGCATATTCAAATAAGCACTGCGCATATTTTTAAAACTGATATGATATGAATCCATGTAGACCAATTTTAATAGTTCAAAATGAGTCATAATTCTTGTTAACAATACAGTTATTTTTAAAATTTGCAGCAATAGTAGTCCTTTTTTATTTTCCTTATTGAAATTAAATGATATGCCTTGGGTGAGCCATTCATCACTGTTAAAGACTTGCCTTCCTCTGGAGTTCTTGAATCTTTACCCATATGTACATATAGAGTATGCATTTTCTTCCAGTTTAGGAAATGCTTTTCTAATTGTGAGTTCCTGGGTGTATTTTTGACGTTTTAGGACTAATGTTTTTTTATTGCTATTATAGCTTGAAATAAATGTTTCAATGGATTCAATCCCACATCACCAGTTATTTAAATTCAGGGATAAGGGAAGCATATCTACCAGAAGTATTTTGCATCTCAGTGTTATTGTTCTAAAGAATTTCTTTAGTCCTTTGCCTTGCTATACGCTTTTTGAAATTAACCTAAGTTGTCAGAGCTTTAAGTTTAGGTGATAAAACACTTTTCTATATGAAATGTGTATCTGTTCTCCTTTAAATAGTAATAATACATACAGCAGAATTTACTTAGTGTTTAAAGAAGCATGTTCTGAATCACGCAATATGACAAGTAATGTGATTGCTTTATGAGCCAAGGAGAGTATAATTTATATTAATTGAAAATGACAAAACATAGGAGCACGTATAAGCATTCAAATAATAGTTGTTCTGCATGAGTTTTATTTACATTAACTATTTAAATATGTGACATTCAAAAGTAAGTATATATACTCTTATCACAAAAACGGTTACCTGTGTAACATTTTATTAAACATTTTTAGGGCATTCTAATTTCAAGGAAAATAATGTGGGAATTTGCGATTCTTCTGTATGGCTTTAAAATGGGCATTCTCTTAATATAAGATAATAGTTTTAATACAATTAAATATTAGTTTTAAAATAACACTTTTAACATTTTATAAAGTTAGATTTATTAAGGTAATGCTGATCTACATCACAGTATATGTATGAGGGTTATAGGTGTACACATTTAAATTGTGTGTTATTTCATACACACCCACCATCAGAGCCCCAGTAATTACCCACATCCACATCCCACCACATCCATCTTTTAATATTTTTTTTTTTTAAATATTAAATTTTATTTTTATATTCCCCCATACAATTGCAAACGCCCCATTCTGACCCCAATCCTTCCCCTCCCGCCCCCCACCCCCCAAAAAGTGTCTCTGGTTCATAGTTTTTTGTTGATTTTGATTTTCACTTTCTTATATTCATTTTCCTGGTCCCTTATTTAAGTTTTCTAGATTCCTGCTATGAGTGAGACCATCCGGTATTTTTCTTTTTCTTTTTGGCTTATTTCGCTGAGCATGATCCCTTCCAGTGCCATCCATGTTGCTGCAAATTGCATGTGTTTATCTTTTTTGAATGCTGAGTAATATTCCATGGTATATATGTACCACATCTTCTTGATCCAGTCATCTATTTTTGGGCATTTGGGCTGTTTCCAAAGCTTAGCTATTGTAAACAGTGCTGCTATAAACATAGGAGTGCAGGTGCTCTTTGGAATTGATGTTTCTGTGTCCTTTGGGTAAATACCTAGGAGTGGAATTGCTGGATCATATGGAAGCTCTATGTTTAGTAGGTCCAGAAATCTCCACACAGCTCTCCATAGTGGTTGGACCAGTTTGCACTCCCACCAACAGTGCAGGAGAGTTCCTTTTTCTCCACATCCTCGCCAACATTTGTTGTTGCTAGTTTTTTTAATATGTGCCATTCTCACTGGTGTGAGATGGTATCTCATGGTAGTTTTGATTTGCATTTCCCTGATTACGAGTGATGTTGAACATTTTTTCATATGTCTGTTGGCCATTTGCATTTCCTCTTCAGAGAAGTTTCTTTTTAGCTCTTCTGCCCATTTTTTGACTGGATTATTTTCTTTGTTTTTGCTGAGTCTCATCAGCTCTTTGCAGATTTTTGTGATCAGTCCTTTATCATTAGTGTTGGGTGCAAAAATGTTCTCCCAGTTGGTGGGGTTTCTCTTTGTTTTTGTTATTGTCTCTTTTGCTGTGCAGAAGCTCTTTAATTTGATGTAGTCCCAGCTGTTTATCTTTCTCTTCACTATCACTGCTTTGGGTGATGTGTCTGTAAAGATGTCTTTGATGTGCAAATCCCGTAGTGTTTCGCCTATATTTCCTTCTATGTATTTTATGGTTTCAGGTCTTATGTCTAGTTCTTTAATCCATTTTGAGTTGATTTTTGTGTATGGTGTGAGGTAGTGGTCAAGCTTCATTCTTTTGCATGTAGCGACCCAGTTTTCCCAGCACCATTTATTGAACAAACTTTCTTTGCTCCAATGCATAGTCTTTGCTCCTTTGTCAAAGATTAGTTGACCATAAATCTGTGGGTTTATTTCTGGATTTTCTATTCGATTCCATTGGTCTGTATGTCTGTTCTTGTTCCAATACCATGCAGTTTTGATGATTATGGCTTTGTAGTAGAGTTTGAAGTCTGGGAGTGTGATGCCTCCATTTCCTTCTTTTTTTTTCAGTAGAGCTTTGGCTATTCGGGGTTTTTGGTGATTCCATATGAATTTCATCAATAATTGTTCTATTTCTTTGAAGAATGCCATTGAGATTTTGATTGGAATAGCATTGAATCTGTATATTGCTTTTGGTAGGATGGCCATTTTAATAATGTTTATTCTTCCAATCCATGAGCAGGGGATGTCTTTCCATTTCTTTGTGTCTTCTTCTATTTCTTTTAACAGTGTTTTATAGTTTTCTTTGTATAGGTCCTTTACCTCTTTTGTTAGATTTATTCCCAAATATTTGATTTTTTTTGTTTCGATAATAAAAGGGGTGGTTTTTTTGATTTCTTCTTCTTCAGATTTATTGTTTGTGTATAGGAAGGCTACTGACTTTTGCGTGTTGATTTTGTATCCTGCCACTTTACTGAATTGATTGATGAGTTGAATTAGTTTTTCTGTGGAGATTTTGGGGTTCTCTATGTATATTATCATATCATCTGCAAATAGTGATAGTTTGACTTCTTCTTTTCCTATTTGGATTCCTTGGATGTCTTTCTCTTGTCTTATTGCTCTGGCTAGGACTTCCAGTATTATATTGAAAAGCAGTGGTGAGAGTGGACATCCTTGTCTTGTTCCAGATCTTAATGGAATTGCTTTCAGCTTTTCACCATTGAGAATGATACTGGCTGTTGGCTTGTCATAGATGGCCTTTATGATGTTGAGGTATGTTCCTTGTATCCCAAGAATTTCAAGGGCTTTTATCATGAATGGGTGTTGCACTTTGTCGAAAGCTTTCTCAGCATCTATTGATATTATCATATGGTTTTTATATTTCTTTTTGTTGATGTGTTGGATAACGTTGATTGATTTTCGGATGTTAAACCATCCTTGTGCCCCTGGAATGAATCCAACTTGGTCGTGGTGAATTATCTTATGGATACATTGTTGGATTCTGATAGCTAAAATTTTATTGAGGATTTTTGCATCAGTGTTCATTAGGGAGATTGGCCTATAGTTTTCCTTTTTTGTGTTGTCCTTATTCGGTTTTGGTATTAGTGTAATATTGGCTTCATAGAACGTGTTTGGTATTGTCCCTTCCTTCTCAATTTTTTGGAAGAGTTTGTGAAGAATAGGCACTAATTCGTCTCTGAATGTTTGGTAGAATTCATTTGTAAATCCATCAGGTCCTGGGCTTTTGTTTTTGGGGAGGTTTTTAATTACCATTTCAATTTCGCTGCTTGTAATTGGTCTGTTTAGGTGTTCTATTTCTTCTTTATCTAGCTTTGGGTGATTGTAGAGTTGTAGGAATTTGTCCATCTCCTCTAGATTGTTGAACTTGTTTCCATATAACTGTTCATAGTAGTTGCTGATTATTCTTTTTATTTCTGCTGTGTCCGTTGTGATTTCTCCTCTTTCATTTATGATTCTGTGTATTTGTGCTTTCTCCCTTTTTTCCTTTGTGAGCCTGGCTAGGGGTTTGTCTATTTTATTTATTTTTTCAAAGAACCAGCTCTTGGTTTCATTGATCTTTTGGATTGTTTTTTTAGTTTCAATTTCATTTATTTCTGCTTTGGTTTTTATTATTTCTTTTCTTCTACTGGTTCTGGGGTTTTTTTGTTGTTCTTTTTCTAGATCTTTGAGCTTCGAGATTAGGTTGTTTCTTTGAGTTCTTTCTTGTTTTTTGATGTGAGCTTCTATTGCTATATATTTTCCTCTTATTACTGCTTTTGCTGCATCCCATACATTTAGGATATTGGTGTCCTCCTTGTCATTCAATTCAAAGAATTTTTTAATTTCTTCTTTGATCTCCTCGTTAGTCCAGTGGTCTTCCAGTAATGTGGCTTTTAATCTCCATGAGGTAGGATAGTTCCTTGTCTTCTTTTTATGATTTATTTCTAGTTTGATGCCTTCGTGGTCAGAAAAGATGGTTGGTATGATTTCAATCTTGGTGTATCTGTTGATGTTTGTCTTGTGCCCCAGTATGTGATCGATCCTGGAGAATGATCCGTGTGCGCTTGAGAAAAATGTGTACTCCGTTTTTTTTGGGTTTAGTGTTCTATAGATGTCTGTTAAGCCCAAATGCTCTAGGTCCCTATTTAGAGCTTTAGTTTCTTTACTTATTTTTTGTCTTGTTGATCTATCCATTGTTGATAGTGGTGTGTTGAAGTCTCCCACTACATATGTGTTTTCTCTGATGTCTGTTTTCAGAGAGGACAACAGTTGTCTGATATATTTTGGTGCTCTTTCGTTTGGTGAGTATATGTTAATGAGTGTTATTTCTTCTTGAAGTATTGTCCCCTTAATCATAATGTAGTGACCATTGGGGTCTCTTTTTATTTTTTTGAGTTTGAAGTCTGTTTTATCTGATATAAGTATAGCTGTTCCTGCTTTCTTTTTTGGCCCATTTGCTTGTAGGATTGTTTTCCATCCTTTGACTTTGAGCCTATTTTTATCTTTTGTAGCTAAATGTGTTTCCTGGAGACAGCAAAAGGTTGGGTTTTGTTTCTTAATCCAGGCTGCAACTCTGTGTCTTTTTATTGAAGAGTTTAGTCCATTTACATTTAGAGTTAATATTGATATGTTAGCATCTGTATTTGCCATTATGTTTGTCTTTCCTTTGATTTTATTTATTTATTCTTTTAATAACTTTTTTTTTTTTTTTGGTCTTCTTTCGTTGTTATTCGTCCCTCTGAGGTTCTGGCTTTAGGATTCCTTGTAGTATTTTTTGGAGTGGGGGTTTAGTCGCAATGAAATTCCGGAGTTTCTCTTTGTCTGGGAAGGTCCATATTCTTTCTTCATGGAGGAAAGAGAGCTTTGCGGGATAGAGTATTCTTGGTTGGCATCTGTTTTCTTGGAGTCTGTTGACTATGTCCCTCCACTCTCTCCTTGCCCGTAGTGTTTCTTCAGAGAAGTCTGATGTCAGCCTGATTGGTTTTCCTTTGAATGTTATCTGTTTCTTCCCTCTTGTCAGCTTCATTATTTTTCCTTGTCCTGGATTCTTGGGAGCTTTACTATTATGTGTCTTGCTGTGTTTTTCCTTTCGTCGTGGAAGTTTGGTGTTCTTCTTGCTTCTTGTATATCAATTTTCAGCTCCTTCTTCTCATTTGGGAAGTTCTCTTCAATTATATCCATGAATATTTTCTCTGTTCCTACATCTCTCTCCTCTCCTTCTGGAATTCCTATAACTCTTATATTTCCTTTCCTCATGGAGTCAGATAGTTCCCGAAGTCTTTCTTCATTCTTTTTCCTTCGTACTTCTCTTTCCTTTTCTGTTTTGGTTCTTTTTATTTCTATGTCTTCAAGATTACTTATTCGTTCTTCCATTTCATCTATTCTGCTTTCATTGCTTTTCCCAGAGTTCTTTAGTTCCTCCATTAATTCTTTGATCTCCTGCATTTCTCTTACTTCCCTCTTTAGGGACTCAATTTCCTTCTTCTGATCTATCACTTTTTTAATCATGGCAATTTTAAATTCTCTTTCTGGAAGGCTCAGAAGTTCTTCCAAGTTGCTGTCGTTGCAATCTGGGGAGTGGTTTTCTTTTTGTGGTGTGCTTCTTTCCTGAGGAGTTTTTAGGTTGCATGTGGTTCTTCTACTCCCTACTGTCTGTTTTCTAATTTGTCGTATGCGTTGGGACACTGTGTTGCTCGGACTGACTGACATCTTGGGTGAACTTCTCCGCTCCCCTCTGGCTCTTCCAGGAGCCATCTCTGTCTTCTGGGGGAGCTTTCTGCTGGTTTTAGGCAGTTTTTACTGAAGAAATGTCCCTGTTCTCAAATGGCGAAGCGGGATGCAGTCCCTGCGCCTCCGGTTTCAGGCACACTCTTCTGCGCACCCGGTCTGCCCCGGACGTGGGTGCCTGCTCCCTCTGTGGGCTCAGACTGCTGGTCGGAAGGGGCCTGGCGTGGAATAACTTCCCGGCTGGCCACTGGGTCCTCCAGAAACCTTCTGCCCTTTTCAAGCAGTCTTAAGAAATGTCCTGTTTTATAGGGTGTTAGTGACTTTTTTTTTTCCTGGTCGCTAGGTGGCGCCAGAGATCTCTCCTATTGTCCTTGGGGGGCTGTTTTTCGCCTCCCCCCACCCCGTGGGACAGAGAACAGAGCGGGAATGGTAGGGTACACCTCAACAGCTTTGGGGTGCTGTGTCTGCCTTGTGCCCCACCGTCGTGGAGAAACCACGCCCCGAATTTTCGTGCCCCGGGTCTCAGTTCAAAGCCCTCAGTTCCAGGATGCGGGCTGTAGCCCAGTTCAGTGGCGCGGGAATGGCGCCTTTTGCACCGCTCCCGTGCCTGGGCGCCTGGTTCCTGCTCACTCAGGGAGGGACCTTCACCTCAGTGAGGACCTCCGCGCGTCTCCCCGCAAGCCTAGGTCGCAGGCGCGGGGACCTGGGCAGCCGCGATCCAGGTCTGCACTTGCTTTTCAAGCTCCCTGAGCGTGCCGCGTTTCCGCGCAAGCTTACCGGCAGCCCGGGCTGTGTGTGCGTCTCCCGGGGTCTTTGTTCTTCTCTAATGGCGCCCGGAGCCGTTCGCTCACCACCGCGGCGGATCCTGCAGGGTTCGCCTCAGCTCCCGTTCACGGGGTGTGGTGGCTGCAATAGTTCCTTTCCACTCAGGGTCCCGCTTGCTGCGTCGTTTGTTCTTGTGGGTCGTTTTGGTTTGTTGTTTCCTCCTCTCTGCTGGTCGGAGAGTGCTGCCTCTGTGGGCGGGGGGGGGGGAGCAGGGTTCTGCGCTTCCCTCCCTTCTGGTCCTCTTTTATGGCCACTTTCTTCTTCGGGCAGTTCGCTGGCGTCACCCGTTTATCTTCCGTGTCCCAGTTCTCACTGGGACCTGCCGCTTTTCCTCCCTATTCACTTTTTTTTAATGGGAGATCTTACTCGCAGCGTCTCCTCGCCGCCATGTTGCTCCGCCCCCTTCTTTTAATATTTTTTAAAGAGGGAGGAAGAGGCAGCATTTGCAGTAAGAATTTTTTGGAGTAAGCAACAAATATATAAAATGTTATAAAGCACATTGCAAAAATGGGCTTGTACATAAATGCATTAGATCTTGTCATTGATTTTTTTGTTTTTGCATTTTTGGCATTTTTAAAAAAAACACTCAACATTTTGTTTATGCATTAAATGTGGGCAGTAGTATTGTTTGTGATTCAGCTAACCTGAAAGTTTGAATGGAATAATTTTCCTTTCCTTACCTTTTTAAACACATTTTGTCATTAGGACTTAGATGTGATCTTTGCAATTTTGGATTTAAATTTCTCCAAAGTTTTAATGATGAACATCGTGGACCCTGCCATTGTAACCTCCATGGCTCGGTGGACAAACTCTGCAATGTTCTTTCTAGCCAGTGCAAGTGCAAAAAGGAAGCCAGAGGACTTCACTGTGACACTTACAGAGAACACTTGTATGGCCCAGATGTCACCAGGTGTAAGGCCTATGACAGTGATGCAGCAGGATCCCTCCCTGGGAGTATCTGTGATGGCAGGACTGGGCAGTTCACCTGCCAGCCCGATGTAGGAGGAAGATAGTGCAATGCATATTTGGAAGAATACTTTTACCTGCAACAAAGCAAGTCTTTCTTCTCTTTGCTTTGTAACTGTGCTAAGGCTGGGACCATCAGCAACTCTTTGCTGTATGACACATCAATGAGACAGTGTTCTTGCAAATTAGGAGTCCCAGGTCCTCTCTGTGATCAGTTTGAGCCTCACAGGTACAGTTTGACCACTGGCATTTTCCAAGACTTCCAGGTGTGTGAGTGTGACTCCTTGGGGACATATCCTGGGGCCATCTGTGACCCAGTCAGTGGCCAGTGTCCATGTCTGCCTAATTGTCAAGGAAGAAGGTGTGATGATCAGTGTCAACCAGATAAGTGAGGAATGCGAGCTTTAGGACTTAGATATGAGCTCTGCAATTTTGGATTTAAATTTCTCCGAAGTTTTAATGATGATGGTTGCGGAGGCTTTCTTGTCACTCTCCTGTATCAGGTGATATCAGGTAACTGCTCTTTGTTCCTGGGTTGGAACTTCTAGAAATTTGATCTCCAACATTGGTGCTAGGCTTTCATCCTTGTCCAACACAGATAGAAATGTTTAATGTGCTCAAAATCATGATACATGTTTGTGTTTCAATTTGGGAGGTGACCCTTTAGGTTAATGTCAATCAATCAGACAGTTCATAATTGACACATATTTAATTTCTCAACTTGAAATAAATCTTTAAGCAACTAAAAAAAAGCCAAGCCATGCAAGAATAAATTTCATTTTTCTAGAGGACAAAAAACTTGAATAGATTATCTATACAATTGCAAATATTTAGTCAATGAACTAATAATACTGAGCAAAAATGACCATGGCATCAAACTAATAAAGTAAACACCTGTTTAGTTCTGCTGTAGCCACCATTCTGTCTGTTTCCCAACTGGAGGAGAGATGGAGTCCATCTATGGCTTTTCCCCTCCAATATAGGATTTTAACTAAAGCAATGATTTTCCTTATAAATTCATCACAATATCATCATAAATATAGGCATTTATCACTGTTCAGCCACTGCACTAATTGTTATCCTGTTCACCAAGGTCAGCTTGAGTCACCTGAACCTGTGAAGTGGCGGGTAATGCAAATTCAGAAGTGAGGGACCTGTCAGGGAAGGGTGGAACCAACGTCATGTCTTACATGATAAGGAATCCAGCTGAGGAGAATAAACAAGTCCCTTTCTTTTGACATTGGTCAGTGTGACAAGTAGACCCAGAGAAACAGAGAGAAATCGATGTACTGTTCATTCTTTTTTAAGGTACAGTATCAGAAAATAATTTGAAGTAGCTTAAACCTAAATGGAGTCTACATTATCACTGAGCTCCCCCACAAACACTGACTGGGAGTGATGCATTGAGGACTCAGAAGTTAGGGAGCTCCCACTGGTATACATTCATTCATTCATTCATCTATTCATTAATTCATTACCCTCACTCCCTCTGTGCAGAGAGACTCCCTGCTTCTTTCTCCTCTGGGTGAGGAGAGAGTTTGCTTATAGTTGTATTTCCAATTCTACAAAATCTTATTAACAGTCTGTTGGTTAAATTTCCAACAGGGAAGTTCTGAGTGACTTGGTTTTGTCGGGATGTCTACTTCTGAGCTTGTTCACAGTGGTCAGGGGTGTCAGGTCACATGAATTTAGTCTCCAGAGCCGACTCCTTGGGGCAGAACCAGGTAGTAAGTAGCCCAGAAAACAGGAAGGTAACCCAGAACTGGGCCCATGGCCAGCATGGCAGCCACAACACATCTTTTAGCTTTGGATTCATCCTTCCAAATTTGCAATCAATTCTTTTATATTCTCAGATGATGCTTTTTTCCTATTTGTTAATATCTTCAATTTTGTAAATAATGTACTTGGTCTCCTTCAAAAATAACCGGGATTTATTTAACCCCCTTCTAAGTAAACCAGCACAAGCTGATTGACCAAATGTTATAGACATTGACTGATGGTCTATTGCTAAATTTCATTGTGTGGTTTGTGTCTGACCTAGGAAACAGTCACACAACAGAGCTAGAGAGCCCCTGGATTCTTCTGTGGGATGATTTATTCAGTGGGGGATAAAATGAGCCGGTAGCTTTCTTTTCGAAAGTTTTTGTGCCTAGAAATAGATAAGAGATTCCTAGAAAACTAAGCAGAAGCACATTTTCAAGAAAGGAAATACAACCAGGGCATATTCTATGGCAGAGCTGTGAAATAGGTTTATGTAGTCATAATAAGATAAGCTTTGCATATTGGCTTAGCTAAGTGGAGGGTTTGTTGAGAAAAGGACTTCAGGAGCTAAACACTCATATTTTAATCGTCTATGTTTTACAAGTTGAAGTAGAACAATAGAAATAAAAGCCAGATAAAATATCTATAGGAATTGAAGGTGGTTTCTCTGGGCAGGGAGATTCCTGGAAGAAGAATGGCTCCTTGGACTGCTATTGATATTTTAGATCATTGGGCCTTTAAATTCTTTTTGAATCTTGAAAGTGCCTGCCTGTAAATTTTGAGGAAAGTACAAGTTAAGTTTGAAATTAAAATATTGGAAATCATTCTCAGTGTTCCTCCACTTCATGTTTTCCTCTCTCTTATTTTGTCCTCTTTCTTGATTTCAGCAACTTAGCCTCCTTCTTAGGCTGTTTGCCTAGGCACATCTGTCACAAAACTCCTCTGAAAACGCTTGTGGCAAATTGTCCTCTCTTTTAAGGATGCTACAGAATGGAAATCATCATTCATGAAAATAATGATCATATTTAAAGTATACTTGCATTTGTTTACAGGAGCACTTGTTTAATTGCCCTTGTTAGTCTCAGTATCTTTAGAGTAAGGATTATTTTATTTAAGTTGCATATCCATGATTCTAATATAAATCCTTGTACTCTATACACACTCAGTCAGCAATGTGTTTAATTGAAGATGGTGAGAAATAATCAGTTTTAAGAAGGGCATCTGTACTAAATAGGGTTTTTCAAAGAGACAGAACCAATAGGAGGGTGTGTGTGTGTGTGTGTGTGTTCTCATATTTGGGATTTTTTCCACTGAATATATCAGTCTACAAGGAGTCTCCAAATTCCTTGATCTTCTAGTACATTGCACAGTTTGAGCCTTAGTCTTACTTTCGCATGTGTGCCGAGGCATTCCTACACATGTCTCTGTGTTGGATACCCTATATTCTATTTTCACAATCTTTGTGTTGTTTTTTCCTTCTTGTATATTTTTAGTTTTGTAATGGGGAGAACACATCCTCCAATAACATCTTAAAAGGAGTTACAGTGGTGATAAGTTGATTTTCTTTTTAGAATGCTATATGTCTAAAATGATCTCTATTACACTCTGATAGCTGTGTGGAATTTTATCACTATTTAGAATCACTTTCAAGCATTTTAAGTTATTTCACTGTTACCTTCCAGCATTGCCAATCTGATTTTTTGTTGTCTTTTACATCTAGAGGCTTCGACCCATAAACACCTTCATGGTCTTGACTAGGGTTTGACCAAACACCTGGGCACTGGGCCTTGTTGGGTTGCCACATATACCCAACCATCACAGGTGCTGTGAGCCCTGTGGACACTGCAACACGTCATCCCTTTATGTCCAGCCCAAGCTCTCTCTGATTTAACCCCTAAAGAGAAACACAGTCTTCCCTCAAAATGCAAATGGGAGAAACTTCTGGTTGGGAAAGGACTAACCACATGTCTCCCTTTGAAACAGAATAAATGGGAATAAGCAGATGACCTGTCTGTTGTGTCCTCACCATGTGCTGATTAGTGGAAAACATGATTCAAAAGTAGGCACATGGGGAGAAATAACAGTAATAGGATTTGTACAGGGAGTGAGGAAAGGGAGGAGAGAGGGGAGAATGAATGAATGAATGAATGAATGAATGAATGAATGAATTTGTGGGCCAACACGTTTGAATGCTGTCTGTCCTATCCTAGGTAGTGACTGTGGTACAAAATCCAGAATACAAACAGGAGGCTGTTGTGCCCAATGGCAGCTGGCTTGTTCAGCATGGCAAGCTGGGACCAACTACATGGAAGAAGGGACCATTCCAGAGATCAGAAGTGGAGGGCCAGCACCACAGGACAAGCTGATGATGGCCACCAAGAGACCACCCCCCTGTGTTCTGGCCCTTTAAAATCTTCTGGCCATTCTGCTCCTCCCATTGCTCCCGATAGCCCCTGTTCTTGTAGCTGTGGGCTTTTGAGTCCAGAAAGCTCCACTGTCTATCTTCTAGCTGTTAGTCCCAGCCACATTCCTGATTGCAGGACAGGGCCAGGATATTCAGGAAGGCAGTGGGCCTACCCACTGCATCTACCATTCATAAACTCACCACATGTGGCATGAGGGCACAGGAGCTGCTGGACTTGATAACATGGCCATGAGCTCAGCATGCCAAGTCTCATAGAGTTTGGCTGCCACACCAGCCAGGATGGCTCAAAACACTGCTCTGAAGAGGGAGCCAGCAGCTGTTGTTGGCTATTTTCCCCCTCAGCTTGTCCATGCAACTGATGGCTGATAAATAGGATGTAGAGCACCCACAGAAAGCCATGCATGCTCAGGGGGGGGTGTAGCAATGGCACACCCAGGTCAGTCTTGTCTGCCTCACAGATGCCCATGCAGGTGACGGGCAGCAGACTGAAGTCAGCCCCATGCAATGCAAGGGCTTGGCAGCTGTGAAGGGACCAGAAGTCCCAGAGTAGGACAGCCAGGGCGAGGACATCATCTTGTAGGCTGCTTCGCCAACAACCAGACTTCAGAAACTTCTGGAACCTTCAGTTCTAAACCTTTCTTTCCAGAGTTAGGTAAACAATCAATGAGCTTGCTGTGGGCCTCTCCATGGCAAATGCCTTGCTTGTTGTCCTCTGTTTTTGGATACCATCTCATCTATTTTTTTTTCTTTTTATTTCATTTTGGGGATTTCAGGAAGGAACAATTGTTCAATCGACCATGCTTAATTGAAAATGTTATCCTGATCACCCTGCGTTATAATCTTCTTCAGGCCAGGCCCTTCCAGTTGTGCTTGACTCCTTTTTACACAACTCTGATCTCTTCTATCAAAATCGATCTTCTCTGTTTTTCCTTTAAGTTGTCTAAAATTTGACCACTTCTCGACACCTTAGCTTCCTGTCCCAAGCCACTTTTACCTTTTCCTGGACCATGTGACTGGCATCTTGACATCCATTTCTGCTCACTCCTTTATCCTTCTCTGGTCACTTTCAGCACACAGTTAAAATTCTGCTGTTCAAACATCATTGGGATCATCCACTCTGCTCCCCAACTGCGTTTCATCACAGTTAGCACAGGACATAGTAAGGACAGGACTGCAGTGACCCATGGCAAGTCC